GTGATTATTGCCTTGATCAACAGCCATAGCTCACATATACAGGGACAGGGGAGGAAGTGAGCTCTGCAGTCTACTGTTGGAGGACTCTGCTAGCATCACACGTCCGGCAATCAATCAAACAATCGGCGAATATCGTCTACCTCACCTGGAACGATGTTGAGAACGGTTGTAGAATTCTTCCTCTTACAGCCTGAACACCGTCACCAGTGGCATAGCCAAATGATAAAAGGTACACGGAGCACACTAGGACTGTCTATGAAGCCAAGAGCATTGCCCATATCCTCAACCACTGGTCGACACTCTTTTGTTGGTGATGGGCGACAGCAGAGCATGAGTATTAGACGGTAACAAAATACTGTGAGTCTCGCTTATATCAATGAGTTCTAGACCAGTACATATTTGATACGGAATGCCAATTGAGCCCTGTTGCTTGCCATAATTCGTCACCCTCAAGGCCAATTGTCTGTCCAACCCAGGCTGTATCCCACTTATGGAGAGGTAGTTACAGCCCGTCCCGATCCCGTCCCGATGTTGAAGGTCAAGACTCCTCGGCGGCAGCCTCGCTGTAAGATGGGCAACGGTCAGAGTCAGTGACGATTAGGTTATCATGAGGAAGCTCATGTGGAGTCTGAAAGTATTGACCCACAATCCTTTCCTTACCCTTACTGCTTGACCAGCAGCACAGAAGACCCGAGTCAACGGTAATGGTTAAGGAGTCATGGAAGTTTCCTAAATGATGTCTCTAGATGCCAATTACATGTCAAACCATTTTAGAATCGGATGGTTTCCAGAAGTGAAGACTCTGCAGTCGCCAAAATGAGCATGAGTTGGGGGTTCTTTGGATAGTGGAAAGAGATGTCGATGTTCTCATTTACGGTGCGACGTATTGAGATCTGGGTAGATCAGTCAAGCTACGTGTAACTCAATTGACTTGGAAGTATGACATGGCGTCACTTGAACGCGATTCAATTTGTTTTCGTTTCGTTATTAAGCTATGGAAGCAATGTGATGATTGTGCTGATATTAGATCGAACTGATTCCTTCCAACAGCATCCCCTTATCTCATAGCAAGGGTAAAAACAGGCCAACAGCGACAGCTACAATCGGAAAGGCCACTGGAACTCTCAACGCCCCCGCAGCACCATCAGGACCGCTGCCCCTCGAAGTAGCCGTTGTAGTTCCCTCGGCGGTTGTGGTGGCCGAAGTCTGGAACGGGTAAGAAAAGTTGACTGCAGCCGAGATACCAGGGCAGACGCCCTCGAGAAGCTGCTTGGTGTACAAATTTTCTGCCTGGGATGGACAGACAAGAGACAAGCATACGCTAGCTTAGGCATGAGCATAACTACTACTTCGCAACACATCGTGGAAAGTCGAAGAATGGGAGGGATACTCACCGTGCTATACTCTTGTGTGCTGGACATAAGCAATCGGTCAAGACTCCGACGGCACCCGATGCGTCGTTTTCTTTGAGGGTTCTGGTTACGTATGGTGCGCAGCTTTTCGACCAGAACTGGTCCAGTATGACGGAGTTTGTGCAAGAAGAGTAGAGTCTGGATAGTTTTGTGAGTCACTTGCTTTTGGTGACTGAGGAAGTTGGAAGATATCATACATCCATGGCCTGATTAGGCCTCTGGTGGTACACTCCTCGTCCCAGGGGGTGATCCGCGGTTTTGATGGCCCGGCCAATGTGGGCATGATACCAGGCACCGACTGCGTCTGTATCGCTGTCTGTCCCGAGACAAGTTGAGGCATGAGCCATATGAAGAGAGCGAGAAGAGGCAGGAAAGCCCTATTCACTGAATGGTTGAATTTTTCCATCGTGGGCATGGAGGTTTGAAGCATGATAAGGTGCAGATTGCATGTAGGCGTTTGGAGAAGGCTCACGCAGAATGACTACCTTACTGCAAGACGCCTCGAGAGGGTAATTGCCCTTTACGGCGCAGCTCGCCACGCGCGTACGCGATTATTGAATGAAACACAAACATCTAGACTGCTCACGAGACTATTAGACTACCTGGAGAAACCGCACTCGGTCCAATACGCTACACTCTGCTTGCTGTGCCGCCCAGTTGCATCTCAGGATCAAGGCGGAATTGGTGTACGCCAATCTTGAGCGCGAAAGGCCACTGTTTAACTCCATCGTTTTATATTACTAGAGGATTACCGTAGTACATATAGACGCTACCCTACCCTCAAATTCCGCACTATTTAACCTTAACCCTTTTTATAAATTACCTATTTTTTTTTCTATTTTACCCTCTCCCTCGTTAAGGGATTATTAAAATTATAATTTTAATAACTTATTAATAAGTTAATATTATTATTTAAAAATAAGTAACCTATATTTATATATAAATACTAAGAGTTTTATTATTATAAAAATAATAATAAATATATTAAAGTACTTAAAAAAGCTTTTTAATAAACTTTTAATATTATTTAAAACTATAGTTCTCGAGTTATAAAAAAAAGCCGAAGCGATATATTAATACGGCCTTATTTATCTTATTAATATTAATAATAATCTTTTTAATATAAAATATATTATTAATATTTTATAATTATATTATTACTTTTTATAAATTATACTTAATATTAATAAGGATTTTAATATTATTTCTTAGTTCGTTTTTTAATTTCTTTATTAAAACTATTATTATAAAATTAGTTTAGTTATTAATATTTTAATAAGTATTTTAATTTAATTTAGAAACTTTTATAACTTTTAAAAAGAGGCTTTTAAAGGACTTATGATTAAATTTTTTATTTATTATAAATAAAGCTATTATAATTAAAGCTATAATATTAATTACGAACCTTAATAATAAGTAGTTAATAATATAATTATCTTTTTTTTATAATAAGCTTAAAAAAGTATTTTAATTTAAGTACTAAGTAAGTACTATACTATTTTATTAAAACTATATTCTTATACTTATAACTTAAAAAGAATTAACTTTCTTTGATAATAAGGTACTTAGAGCGCGAAAGGCCCTGGTCTAATCTCGTATATTGATTCATACTGAAAGACGAGGCAGACTTTGACAAACAAACGTAGGCAACTGGGAGATAGTAGAGATTTATGTTTTGCAATACGACATTATGCCATTGAGATGTAGGAATGCGGTTGCGCTTGAGACGTTGGGCTAACACGGGTATTGACCAGCTGGGCCCAGGCGGCACCACCTGTATCTGGCCGAGGCATTGTGGAAGCCGACGATATGCGGCCAAGCTCCCTATGCCCCAGCTCTTCTCCAAGGTCTCTGTAACTTGCCGATCGACCCCTCGTTGCCATTCCTCATTCAATTCAACCTCAAAATGCTTGCCATTCGCCCATCAGTCTGTAGGGCGTGCCGAAAGGCCCAGATCCGCCCGGCGAGAGCGTTCGCAACCGCCAGCGGTCCCATCCAGCAGCCGCCCCGCGACAACTATGTGAAGCTCGTCGAGGTCGGTCCTCGCGATGGCCTCCAGAACGAGAAGAAGACGATACCCCTTGCGACCAAGATCGAGCTGATTGAGAGGCTCGCCAAGACTGGTGTGTCTACAATTGAAGGCGGCTCCTTTGTCTCGCCGAAATGGGTTCCCCAGGTAAGCTTACCCAAGTGGCCTGATGAATCTTGGGATCAGTGTTACTGACGGTTGAACGGTTACAGATGGCCAATTCAAGCGAAATTCTCGAGCACCTCCTCACCCGAAAGGTTTCCTCTCCAGCTCAAACATCATACTCATTCCTCGCACCGAATATCAAGGGTCTGCAGAACGCCCAGGCGCTGCTGGCCAAATACCCCGGCGCATTCGCATCACAACTCCAGCCCTCAGCTGATGCTTCGAACCCCGCCGTCGAAGTTGCCGTTTTCGCGGCAGCGACCGAATCTTTCTCGAAGAAGAACCTCAACTGCGACATTGCGACGTCACTAGACCGCTTCCGCGAGGTCATTCGCGAGTCAAAGGCGGCCGGCCTCCGCGTTCGCGCATACGTCTCTGTGGTCCTCGGTTGCCCCTTTGAGGGGTACGACGTTGACCCGCACAAGGTCGCCGAGATCTCGACGGAACTGCTGGAGTCGGGCGCCGATGAGGTGTCTCTGGGCGACACCACCGGCATGGGAACCGCTCCCCGGACCAAGGAGCTGTTGAACTGCATGAGGGCTGCGGGAATCCGCAACGAGGATATTGCGATGCACTTCCACGACACGTACGGCCAGGCCCTGGTTAACACGGCTGTGTCTTTGGAGCATGGTATTCGCACTTTCGACAGCAGTGTTGGCGGTCTTGGAGGATGTCCTTACAGCCCCGGTGCGACTGGCAATGTGGCTACGGAAAACATGATTTACTTTATTGAGAGTCTGGGTATGGACACTGGCATTGACCTGGATGCGATGTCTGATATTGGTGCTTGGATCACGGGCGAGTTGAGCAAGGCCAACGACAGCACTGTTGGAAAGGCTGTTTTGGGCGCCAGATCTCGTGAAGCGGCGACAGCGTAGTCTTGAGTTTCTTGAGAATCGAATTGGAGTTTGAGATGCATTTTTCAGTTCGTGTCTTGATCTGTATTATCGCATGAGTTCATACTGCCCTGAAATGCCCAGGGAAAATGCATTGGAAGAAGGTGAGGTACCTCGTATTACCTTCAGGTTGGAGTGCGGGCAGTCATGTGATGTCACTGCCACAATTCGTGACTGCTAGCGCCCAAGCTGACACTGAGACCGATAATGGCACACTGGGAAGCTCCCAGGCGTCCAAGGCCCGCGCCCCCCAGTCATCAGTGATCTTATCGGCGCCACCTCAGCTTGCCGAGCGGGCTCCACCAAGACGAAGCAAGCTCCAGTGCAGTGCATTCGACGACACTGCACCGACCTGCCAACCTCCTCCAGCTACGTACATCGCAGCGCCTCGCATCGTCTCCATCAATCCGCCCGCCCACGCCCTTCCTAATCGCCCCCCCTCCGACCCAACACGCATTGTCTTCTAATCCGGCGCTGTCTCGCTGATAGTCAGAAGCAATGAGTGACCCGCGGGAGCCCTCTTACTCCATCGTGCCGAGAATTCGGTACAACACCGTCGGCGGTGTCAATGGACCCCTCGTCATCCTTGAGAATGTGCGTCGTCGCCCAGTCGCGCTGGAGTTTCCGTCAGCGAATTATCTGAGTTAGGCACTGATTCTGCATCTAGGTCAAATTCCCCAGATACAACGAGATTGTCTCCCTGACCCTGCCCGATGGAACCAACAGACAGGGTCAGGTTCTCGAGGCTCGAGGTATTTACACAACGTCATTCCTCTGCTAAATAACATGCGTGCTAACGAACATCTCTAGGTGACCGAGCCGTCGTCCAGGTATGCGAAAACGAGCGATCACACGAGAAACACCGATTGACGATGGAAACAGGTCTTTGAGGGAACATCAGGCATCGATGTTAAGAAGGTATGAGATCATCGCATCTCGACAAATATGACGAGCGCTAAAACTCTAGCCAGACGAAAGTCGAGTTCACCGGCCAGAGCTTGAAGCTTGGTGTGTCGGAGGACATGCTGGGTCGTATCTTTGACGGTTCCGGACGTGCTATCGACAAGGGCCCCAAGGTCCTTGCTGAGGACTACCTCGACATCAACGGCAGTCCCATTAACCCCTTCTCCCGTGTATGTGACGCCCCCGAATATCACACCATGGTCTTGGGTTCTGACACGTTGTAGGAATACCCCGAGGAGATGATTTCGACCGGTATTTCTGCCATCGACACCATGAACTCCATCGCCCGTGGACAAAAGATTCCTATTTTCTCTTCGTCTGGTCTGCCGCACAACGAAATTGCCGCCCAGATTTGCAGACAGGCCAGTTTGGTCCAGAAGCAGGGTGTCACCAACAAGGGTGTCCACGACGGCCACGAGGAGAACTTCTCCATTGTCTTCGGTGCCATGGGTGTCAACTTGGAAACCGCCAGATTCTTCACCCGCGATTTCGAGGAGAACGGCTCTTTGGAGCGTGTCACCCTTTTCCTTAACCTTGCCAACGATCCTACGTGAGTTTTGATATCAGAATGTACCGTAAAGGAATGTGCAGGCTGACAACCATGCCAGTATCGAGCGTATCATCACTCCTCGTCTCGCGCTTACGACCGCCGAATACTACGCCTACCAGCTCGAGAAGCACGTTCTCGTTATTCTTACTGATTTGTCCGCTTACTGCGACGCTCTTCGTGAGGTCTCAGCCGCCCGTGAAGAAGTCCCGGGTCGTCGTGGTTACCCCGGTTACATGTACACGGATTTGTCCACCATTTACGAGCGCGCCGGTCGTGTGGCGGGTCGCAACGGTTCCATCACCCAGGTTCCCATTTTGACCATGCCCAACGAGGATATCACTCACCCCATTCCCGACTTGACGGGTTACATTACGGAGGGTCAGATCTTCGTCGACAGAGGCCTTTACAACCGTGGTATTTACCCGCCCATCAACGTTCTGCCGTCTCTGTCTCGTCTCATGAAGTCTGCCATTGGTGAGGGCATGACCCGCAAGGACCACGGCGATGTTTCCAACCAGCTCTACGCCAAGTACGCCATCGGTCGTGACGCCGCTGCCATGAAGGCTGTCGTCGGTGAGGAGGCTCTGTCAGCTGAGGACAAGCTTTCTCTGGAGTTCCTCGAGAAGTTTGAGCGCCAGTTCATCAACCAGGGCCAGTACGAGGCTCGCACCATTTACGAGTCTCTCGACCTGGCATGGAGCTTGCTCCGTCTCTACCCCAAGGACCTGCTCAACCGTATTCCCGGCAAGGTTCTCAACGAGTTCTACCAGCGTGCGGCCAAGGAGGCCAAGGACAAGGGCAAACAGAGACAGCAGGTGCAGCAAAACGAGGAGAACCTGATTGACGCATAAGCGGAGACGCTAAATGTGGGTGCTTGATATCCCCCAGAAGTCGGCAACGTAGTAGGACAACCAGTCGACGTTGTGTATACGTATAGGGGGGCACGAGAGTGTGAGATGGGCAACTTTTGGACCTAGACAATGGCATGCAATTATTAGTTTCTACACATGCCATGTCTCAGTGATGTTCTTGTGTTTGCGGTAGATGTGCGCGAGATTTTCATCATTTACAGAATTGTTTTTTGCATTTGTATTCCCGGACGAACAATGCGATGTCCAGCCAGATGAACCAGCGTGGACCCATGAGGAGTGACATCGAGGCTTTTGATGGCCAAGATCCGGTCTACAGCGGGTTAGAACGAATGAACCATGGCACGGACCAACGTTGTCAGCCAGGCGCACCGCCTCAGTGAACCCCACATCATCCACACCGAGCCAACTCCCCACCATGAGCATGCGGCTACCTTACCTTACCTCACCTCCCGACCTTACCTGACGCAAGACGAGAGTTCCTGCGCAGAGCAATCCGACGAAGCTACCTACTTTCAACCGCACCAGCGACCGACGGCATATAGAAACCTTGCCGTAAACACAACCTCACCTACCGATAAGTGAACCGAACCCTTTGCGTATACGGCATAGCGAACGACCATACCCACAATGTCCATTCACCGGGAGCTCAACGCCGCCTCGCTCAGCGACGCCTGGCGGACCATCAACATTGACGCCCTGCAGGAGGACTCGGCGTGCAACTTTGACACCAACACCCTGCGGCCGCCGCAGCCCGAGATTGGCGAGGATGAGGTCCGGCAGCTCGCGGGCCAGGTGCGGCAGTTGCTCCGCGGCGGGGACGCCGAGGGGGCGTTGAGGGGATGTTTGGAGTTTCCTGTGTACAACGGACCTGATGGCGCCAAGGTGAGATTTAAGACCCGGGGTTTCTGATATCTAGGCATTCGAATGGAGCTCGGGAGGTTGCTAATCGAGTTATTCCGCGAACAGGATGCCCACCTCCAGACCATCACCGAGGTCCTCCAATCCATCAAGGCCTCCGAGATGACGCCCCTCCTCAAGTCCATCTACGGCGGCGCCGGCGGACCCGAGCTTCTCGACGTGCTGATGAAGTACATTTACAAGGGCATGGCCGGCTCTGCGGCCTCTGGAGGACTGAGGTCGCCGCCGCCGCAGGCTGCGCCGAGCGGGTTCAGCCAGATGGGCGGTCGCCCCGGAGCCACCAACGAGAACGTCGGTAGCGCGATGAGCGTGTTGCTTAGCTGGCACGAGAAGGTTGTCGACGTGGCTGGGTTGGGAACTATTGGTCGTGTCATGACGGATTGGAGACGGGTTTAAGGGGGCGAGAAGGACGAGGAACAGTGAGAGAGAGGGGGCGGAAAAGAAAAGGGTGTGTAATGAACTTCATGACGAGTACGGGCATGCTCGGGGTTTTGGGCGTGTCTTTTTTTACTGAATCCAATTAGAAAAAGACTGGGCGTGCCGACAAATGAAATCCATAGAATTTTTTGTTTTGACTCTTGATTTTACAGGTTTTACAGGTGGTTTCTTACAAATGTGCCAGGTTCGGCATCATATCTAATTGGACTCTAAGATGTCCTTGAGGTTCACGTCCCCGCTTCCTCTCGGCAGCGCCGTGGGCTGGTCGGCGCCCTCGTGCCACCCGATCATGTAAATGATTCTAAACGTGGCGGGGATGCTCCCGTCCTCGTTGCCGTGGAGCTCCCTGTAGATGCCCTCGTTGGCCAGCAGCACCTCCCTCCTGATAGCGCCCATTTCCCTGCCGAGGATGGCGTTGCCCTCGCCCATGGCCTGCAGGTCTTGCATGAGCGCAAAGGTGTCTGGGTAGTCTACGACAATGTCGTCGACGTCGACGGTCAGCATCTTGAAGCCGGCGCGCTGCATCAGGCCGCCCACGTCGCGGACGTCGGCGAGGGGAGACACGTGCGGGGAGATGCCGCCGCGGCGCTCCTGTTCCGCGAGCTGGAGGGAGGTGCGCAGCTCAAAGAGGCTGTCGCCGCCGAGCATGGCGCCGATGAAGGGAGCGTCTGGCTTGAGGACGTTGTTGATCTGCGTTAGGACGCCCGGGAGGTCGTTGATCCAGTGTAAAGACAGGGAGGAGAGGACAAGGTCGAAGGAGGCGGGCTCGAAGGGGACGTGTTCCTCGTCGACGAGGACGGTGCGGGTGATGGAGATGTCGTTGTTGAAGGGGAGGTCGGCGTCGCGGTGAAGGAGGGCGTGGGAGGACTCCGCGGCGACGAGTTCGCCTATGCGGGTGGCGAGGGGTTCTGAGATTGGTTTCGAGGGGTCCGGGTCTGGGTTCTCGCGGGTGAGGGCGCGGGCTACGTTGCAGGAGTTTGCGCCTAGGTCGAGGGCGCGGGGAAAGCTTCGTTTGATGTCCTGTTGGAGAGCAATGTATTAGTGTCTGGTTTGTCTCTAGAGGCATTGGCCATCGTGGATGCTGTCAGGTTGAGGTCTGCCGTAAAGCAATGCTCTGGGAGAGGGGGATCATGGATGTGATGGTGGTGATGTACTCACCAGTAACCTCTCGCACAGCCGGTTTGCGACTTCATCTTTGAGGTAATCTGCTTGCCGGCTGGCCTCGGGATTCGATGCTGCGCGCTCCTTTTGCAGCCATTTTGTGCGACGGTTGAAGACCTGAAAGGCAGCAGAGCCGCCGCCGGATGTTACAGCGTAGGACCGGCGTATGGTTGTGGAGGGGGATCCGGCGAAGAACCGGGAGCTCGGTGCGGCGGCGAGGCACACCACCCGTCTGGTCGTGGAGTTCATCACCGGCGCCGCATATCTACACCGGAGTGCTGAGACGGACATGTGGGAAAAGGTTTGTGTGACTTTTTGGAATTGAGAATCCTGCTGGAGAACAAAGAGACGGTGGCGGCTGTGGTATGTGGTAGGATTTGGGTTTTTTGTTGAATAAAAGAAGGTTTTCTTATTATGGATTGACAGACGGGAGGGGAGCTCTTTCCTTCTGCATGGGAATTTCAGCAACTTCGATGATGTAGCACTTTAGTTCGGCTTGTCAGCACACTTTGGAGCTTGCCAATTGACGGGAACCAACCGAGTTTAGCGCGCATAGTTACGTACCTTTCTGACGGGGAAGGTGTCGCTCCTGCACGGGCCTGTAGCGTGCGTGCCCCCCCGGTCAAAGTCCCCTCTTGAGTTTCTATCTCCCCAAATTCATCAGTCAGCAACGGGGAGCATGTTCAATGGCTTGAGAAATAGGTCGATGGAAGTACCTTGCAACACCCCTGACGCGCCTAGTCTTCAAGCAGCGGGCACACTGCGCGCACAGCAGCAAGGCCGCCCGTGAAGAGCCCAGTCTATGGGGGACAAGTGTGACAAGCAAGCACCTGATAGACACTGGGACGCTTACCTGACTGTCCTGGCGTTCAACTCGCAGCAGCTGTTGATGCCCGTGTTGCGTGTTGTAGACATCCAGGATGCTTTCGCTGAGGTGAGAGGTACATGACCTGTAAAGAAGTACAAGCAGAGGTACCTCGGAGTGGTTTGACGGGCCCGTTCAGACGTCCAATGTGCGGGTGGCACATCTCCACACATTGGCTGCATTCCCAATCCCAAGCCTTCCGGGCTTCTCTAAAGTGTCGTTTTCTCCCAAGCCCGCGAAAGCCCCTCGAACCCCTTTCCTTGGAGTTTCGTTTCCCATTTCACAATTTCGCCCAGTGCAACATCGCGAATCGACGCCGAAACCCTTACAAGACCGAACTCAATCTCGAGTCAACCATCAGCTTCTGTCCATTGTCGATAACCCCCTGGTTGCGTCTTCATTACTCGACGGGAACACATTGCTAAGACACGCAGCGGCACTTGCCGGCCGGTTTCGAGTTCGAGTCGCCGAGTCCACAATCCCGCCGTCCACCGATCCGACAGTTGATCTCCCCAAAAACTCCACGCGGCAATCAGCAGGTCAGCTGGGGTAAGCGAGCAGAAATACGAGAAGAAGGGACCCTCGCGCGCGCATGGAGTGATTGCCCAACGCTCGCATCGGAGCAGACAACAACACACGACCCGACGCCAAATACACACCACCCATCGATTTCGCATCCGCGACGCTCTATTACGAAACTCTCGTAGCGAGTCCAACAACATCCGCCAGCTCAACCCCTTTCATCCCGCGCAGAAGAGGGGGGAAGGCATTTTGGAGGGCAGAGGAGACAGCTTCAAACAGATTGCCCGTCGAACCCGGCAAACACCGCAGCCATGTCGTCCTCCGCGAGCGGCTTCCTCGGCCGCTCGACTAGCAACAACTCCAACATGCGAGGGTTGGTGCAATTCATTGCCGATTTGAGAAACGCAAGAGCTAGGGAGCTGGAAGAGAAGAGAATCAACAAGGAGCTGGCCAACATTCGGTGAGCACGCATCTCCCGGCATGTCATACTGCGCTGTCTCGCGACGGAGTACTAACAAGAGTTCCCACGTGTAGACAAAAGTTCAAGGGTACGAATCCGTTTTAGCGGTCAGTCGGCGCGATCTCGTTGTGCTAACTCCTTTGCAGATGGCAACCTGAGCGGTTATCACAAGAAGAAATACGTGTGCAAGGTACGGACTGTCCTGAGCTGCATTGGCTGGTGTTTCGTGCTGACAATCTATGAAGCTCCTCTACATCTACATCCTCGGATGGAATGTCGACTTTGGCCACCTCGAGGCCGTCAACCTCATCTCGGCGAACAAGTACTCGGAGAAGCAGATCGGATACCTCGCCATGACCCTGTTCCTCCACGAGAAGCATGAGCTGCTGCACCTGGTCGTCAACAGTATAAGGAAGGACTTGCTGGACCACAATGAGCTGTTTAACTGTCTGGCTCTCCACGCAATTGCCAACGTCGGTGGCAGAGAAATGGGAGAGGCCCTGAGCGGAGAGGTTCACAGGCTTCTGATTTCGCCGTACGTTTGGTTGACCCCAGAGTATCAGGCCAGTGACTAACAGCAGCGATCCAGAACATCCAAGGCGTTCGTGAAGAAGAAGGCCTCACTTACCCTCCTCCGTCTATACCGCAAGAACCCCGACATTGTCCAGCCGCAATGGGCCGAGCGCATAATATCGCTTTTGGATGACGTAGATGTCGGTGTGGCTCTGTCTGTCACGTCTCTCGTCATGGCCCTTGCCCAGGATAATGCGAATGCATACAAGGGGGCGTATGCGAAGGCCACAGCAAGAATCAAGAGGATAGTCATTGACGGGGAGTACACTCCGGACTACCTTTACTACAAGGTCCCTTGCCCCTGGCTCCAGGTCAAGCTTCTGCGTCTACTGCAGTACTTCCCTCCTTCAGGTGAGTTACACATGAGAATTAGGCTAGCTAGCACATGCTAACCGCCTTAGATGACACTCACGTCCGCGAGATGATCCGAGAGTCATTGCAGAAGATTCTGAACCTCGCGATGGAACAAACGAAGAACGTCCAGCAGAACAACGCACAGAACGCTGTGCTCTTCGAAGCTATCAACCTCATCATTCACTTGGACAACGAGCAAGCCCTGTTGAAGCAGATCTCATCTCGTCTGGGCCGATTCTTGACCTCAAGGGAAACCAACGTTCGTTACTTGGGTTTGGAGGCGATGACACATCTGGCAGCCCGCATCGAGACCCTGGAACCGATCAAGCAGCACCAGGACGTCATTCTTGGCTCACTTAAGGACAGAGATATCAGCGTACGGAGGAAAGGTCTCGACCTTCTCTACAGCATGTGCGACTCGTCCAATGCCCAAGTTATTGTCGGCGAACTTCTCCACTACCTCCAGAACGCCGATTTCGCCATAAGAGAGGAGATGGTGCTGAAGATTGCTATCTTGACTGAACGATATGCCACTGACGTTCAGTGGTACGTGGACATCTCGCTGCGTTTGATTGCCATGGCTGGTGATCACGTCAGCGATGAGGTGTGGCAGCGAGTCATCCAGATTGTGACGAACAACGAGGAGCTGCAGGTTTATGCGGCTCAGCACTCCTTGCAGTACGTCAAGTCGGATCACTGCCACGAGACTCTGGTCAAGATCGGAGCCTACATCTTGGGCGAATTCGGCCATCTCATCGCCGACCAGCCTAAGTGCAGTCCCATTGAGCAGTTCATGGCTCTTCAGAGCAAGGTTGCCGCCTGCTCATCAAGTACAAGAGCCATGATCCTCTCATGTTACGTGAAATTTGTCAACCTCTTCCCCGAAATCAAGCCCCAGCTCCTCAAGGCATTCCAGGTATTCAGCCACACGCTTGACTCTGAGCTTCAGCAAAGAGCATGCGAGTACCTGACGCTCGCCACACTGCCGACAGACGACCTTCTCCGCACTGTATGCGACGAAATGCCACCTTTCTCCGAACGACAATCCGCACTACTTGCCAGAGTGCATCAGAAGCATGCCAACACTAGCGATAAGAGAACTTGGATTGTCGGTGGCAAGGATGCGAACGCAGATGTGGCAGAGATGAAGATGGCCAAGGAGGGTGGCCTCAAGAGGACCTTCAGCACAAATACAAACGGCCATCACGCGGCTAACGGAGGCACGAACGGAACAAATGGCCACGGCAACGGTGTGAACGATTTGGCCGGCCTGGACATGAACAATCTCGGACCTGCCGAACCCAAGACGAAGGCGCCAAACCTGGCCAGTGCCGCCCACTTGTCTCCTAACTGGGATGTGGGGTACAACAAGCTCCTGCTTAAGGGCGAAGGCGTGTTATATGAGGATGGGCAACTCCAAGTCGGCGTACGTTCCGAGTACAGAGGCCAGATGGCGTGCTTGATCTTGTACTTCAAGAACAAGACCCCTACGGCCCTGGGCTCATTCACCACAACACTAGATCTTGACGAAAACGAAAAGGGCAAGCTTACATGGGACGTGAAGAACCTGCCAGAGAGCACAATCTATCAGAATGGGCAGTCTCAGCAGGTCATCATGTTCGAGTCGAAGAAGGTGTTTGACAAGAGCCCGACAATACGTATCAGCTACCTTGCTGGTGCCCTGCAAGCTGTCACCCTCAAGCTTCCCCTCACCGCACACAAGTTCATGGACCCCGCGGATCTCTCCGCCGAAGACTTCTTCAGGCGCTGGAAGCAGATCGGCGGTGCCCCTCGTGAGGCACAAGCGATCTTTGGTCTGGCACCTGGAAAGTCGGATAGAGAGTTAAACGAGTTCTTCGTACGGCAGACGGTCGAGGGCTTCAGGTGGCGTGTTCTTGACGGTGTCGACCCTAACGCGAAGAACTTCGTGGGTGCCAGTGTTTTGCACACCTCAGAGGCTGGCAAGTTTGGTTGCTTGATGCGCCTTGAGCCGAACTACGGAACCAAGGTTTGTTTTACCCCTGATATCATACTAGTAACGATTACTGACTCTGCCTAGATGATTCGTCTCACGATCCGCGCCACAGACGAGAGCGTCCCTGCTGTCCTCCTCAAGGTTATGCAGGACCGTCTTGCTGCTGGCTTCACGCAAGAAAAATTCCAAGCCCCGACACCATCCGAGATATCGGACGCATTTAGCAACATTCTGGTTACATAGCGCAAAAAAAAGGAGGCAGTCCACACCACCGTTGTAATACACATTTTCACACAAACCAAAATCACTTTCTTCGTAATGACACATACCCCACAACACTTTTTGCCTTCTTCGTACCCCTTTCTTGTTTGCCTTGCTGTCATCTCTTGGTTTTCGGTTCTGAAAGTGTTCCCTTTTTTATATCTGCATGGCAAAGCTACTAAGGGTGGCGTCGGGAGGCATCGTGGTAGCAGTCGTTTCCGTGTTGAGGTAGTTGAAGAAGCCCCTTTTGGGTGGTTGGAGGTGTTGTCGTTGGGGGACTTAATGAAAAGTACATGTTTGTCAAGATTGATCTTCATGATGTGCCTATTGTCTGTGCTAAAGCTTCCCAGTTCGATTCTCTCGCACAGCGCCTGCCTGCTTGATCTATGCGACACCCGCCCCGAGATAAAGATGCGGTTGGCCTCAGCCATCGTCGGACCCCTTACGTTTTTTCCTGTCGAAACAAACAACGCCTTTCAGAGACAGCCAACGAAACCGGTTTTCCGGTCACCGCATCCGCATGTCAGCTTCTCGATAGCTGCCGCTCACCTGCATCAATCTCTAACTTAAACCGTCCCCGCCACGAGAGAGCTCTCAAGCTTTAACATCTATCTCTCCTTCCTGCTAGCTCGCCGGTGGCGTGTGAATAGTGTTCCCTGTCGAGAGCGACCACCACTGACTAGCTGTAAGCCTGCATCGTATTGCCCGAATACCCAGGCCCAGAGCCGAATAGGAAAAACTTTGAAACTTTCTAAAGCCCGAGGCTCGTTATCGCAATGCTTGCGTGGTCTTTGTACCATGAAAGATTATCCTCAGTCCATAGTCTAGACCACCAGCTGAGCTTTACTTTGTCCTTAGTCCAATCGTCAGTGTCAGGAATGGCGAAGAGTGCCAGCTCCTGTTGGTGCTTCCCAACATGGTTTTCGTAATCCATCAAGGGCATATTATCGAAGCAAAAAGGACACGAGAGTTCCATTTCATCATCCATGGGAAAAGACCTGATCATGCTATCGGTGTAGCCGTTAGGAAAGTAAGATAGATCATCTGAATGCTGTGTTTTCAAATGCGTGCTACACTCCGATGCTGACGAGAATGTGCAACCGCATCTAAATATGCAGTAAAACAGTATGAAGTGATGTTTGCGCATGTGTTTCATCCACTCGTCGCTTGTAGCGAGATTCCGGTCTGCCGCCTCGCAGTCTTCTTCCAAGCAATTGTACGGCTGCAGGTCTTCGTATACGTGTTGTCTGAGAATGATTAGCAGCGGCAATCGAGGTTCCAGAGGCTACTTTAGTTACCTCCAGGTAATATCGTCTCGAATATCAACGAGTGTGTAGCAAAGTTGGCATACGAATGGCCCACCGCGTGCTTCTTTCGGCATGTCTAGGATCGACGACGACCGCTGGGCCCCTGCAGACGTGGAGTTTTGGAAGGTCACTGAACCGATAGCGTCCTCTGAAGATGAGTCCTGGTAGATGTTGGTCTGTGAGACTTGGTTCAGGTGATCTGGAATGAGGGATGCCGCAGGATCTTGTGGGACCTCCATCATGTTGTGACCCATCTGGCCATCTACGCAATGCAAAAGCCTCTCTTGATGAGCCTTCCTGTACTCGATATGCTGACGCCGCCTCGATATGGCCGTCCCTAGTCGCTGTGCAAGATAAGCTTGGATGCCCTCGAACTTTGTGACTACGTGCTGGGTCGCTAATGCCTCAAATGCAGAGGTATCTGTATGATAGCTAAGGTATCGGTCCCATTGACATGGATCCTTAATCGTGTCGTTAAGTCTCATAAGACAGTCGACGATGTCAGGAACTTGTTCTACGAATACTTTTATGTCTGCGGAAATATCGGGATCATCGTCCACAATCGAGTCTAAATGAAGTATGAGACGATTTCTTCTTGATTCGAGCTGCAATCATTCAACGTACCTGGTGCCGACCGCAGATCCTTGAAAGCCTTTCTGATTCTCTCAAGGATATCAAGGAGGCTTTTTAAGAGCTGACGAACATGGTCTCTGAGTTTTGAATCATTGCGTAGCCGGCATTCGAGGGAAAGGCTGTTGGTATTGTGTATTTCATGTATTTTGGCCCAGACCTTGAGAATAGCTTGCTCATCCGCAAGCGTTGGTTTAGCTTTGGGAAATTTGAAAACCAAGAGACCAGCGCCAGGGCTTAGGTCAATGTTTAGCAGGTGAGAGAATTGAGCTTCCGCTCTCGATACAAGACTCGCGATACTTTCTACCATCCTCTCGACGGGACAGCATGAATATGAAGGCTGTAGTAGGCCGGTAAGGCTGTATCTGAGTGCTGTTAATGCTTTTTTCAAGCCTTCAGAGATTGACGCTGGCGACGCGGATTTAAATGCCAGCGTTCCACATGACGGACAAAGGAGCAAACATCCACGACGCTGTTCAGGTTCAGCGGCAACGAGGTCACGTTTCCTTCCTCAATCACACGTGTGACATTGAACAGAGTTTCATTGTCTTTCGGCAAACGAAGATCCCGCTTCATGCACAAAAAAGTCAGTCGGCGGTGTGGACTTCAGACTTGTGAATTCCACGATGCTGTTTCTCGTCGCTTCTCTCCCAGTCGTTGGACACGTTTCAGCACGTAATGTCAAGCATCAACTGGTTCAAGAGACGTTTTGGCCTTGATACTCAAAGAAAAGTGGGCAAAATCTCACCTTCTAAGCCAAGTTCTCCTGTTCGTTACATGTAATTTCAAGAGAGGCCAGATGGACTGAAGAGTCAACGATTACAAGAGAATTTAAGCTTGCAAACTCTGCTCTCAACGCTTCCAGCCACGAACAAGAGCGTGTCTAGACTATTTAGAAAGACATGACACCTTTGCAGTCCATGATTTCCCAGAGCCCCAATATTGAGACTGCCTGAGAACGGCGAAGTATAGGTATTGAGCTCGAAGTAACTGGGGTATTTGATCGAATTGCTGAAGGTGGAAGATTTGCGATAACATTACACATCCATAGACAATATTTGATCATCGAGAGGCCACTGCAATAGCTCTATTGCTCATCAATATCAGTGTTGCTTTCATCTCTGGGTTTTCGGTTCTGAAAGTGTTGCCCATTTTTTTCCAAAGCTACTCGGGGTGGCGTCGGGAGGCATCGTGGTCCCAGTCGTCTCCGTGCAGTTGAACAAGCTCCTGTTAAGGGGTGGAAGGTGATATCGTTGGGAGACTTAATGAAAAGTACTCTTTGTCGAGATTGGTGTCTGGATTGGTCTTGTCATCTGGCCATGAGGCTTTCTGTTTGGTTTTTTAATGGAGCCGGTCTGCCTACCCTACGCTACCAACACTGGATGAAAGGTCAGTTTGATACGATTGACGCCAAAGGCAGCCTGGGGCGATTACATGGATGACGTCCTCGCCGCCTCCCCCATAGTGCCTGCTAAGAGACAGGCGTTTTTCATACTGACGACTTAATGGCCTTCTTAATCACAATAAGCTAGCAGGAATCATCACCTAGAGCCTGTTCGGCCCTTCTGGCCCCCAGAAGAATCGGTGACGCGCTTAAGTATATGATAGTTGATGATGTAACTCATAGCCATCAATGTAGAATCCGGGTTGACCGACTTGTGCAGCCTCGATAGGTCTGAAGACGGAAGAAGAGTTGTCTAATTATGCTGACTTGGCCTGCATACGAATCACCTAACTATCTACTTCTCTAGGCGCTCTGGGTATTGAGAGACATCAACATGTCGTCCAGAACCTGTCTGAGCCACAGGGCTTCCTGCTTGATTTTATCTCCCAAAGCTCATCTACTTCCGTTGGGCAAGGTCCAAGAAATCAAGAGTTGTTCTGCGATGCCGGTCGTCATGTTCCGCCTCTTCGTACGCTTCTTCTCGGGAAACCCCGCCATTTCCTGCAAAAGGTCGAGGGTATCTAGGGGTGAAGTCTCGCATAGAATTGTCGTCTGCGCCGCTCTTATCATGAAGCCAGGCTGCCGGACTCGACTCGCCGGGCTCGTTGTTGGAGCTTAAGGGTTCTAGAGCGGCGGCCTGGGCGATATCTGGCTGTGTGCCGTTTCCGAGGTGGTCCACTAAGACGGCATCGCCTTGAAGAAGCAATATATCCTCAGTTTGCTGTTGTTCGATCCCTCGACCTCCGGTATTGAGCCGATCTTGAAGATTATCTGTGTCCTCTATATGTATTTGTAATCTTTGCATCAACGCGGACGTGGAATAATCTTTCGCGTTGCTGTACGCTTCTTGTTCTACCTCGGTCTGATACTCAGGCGCTGGATGGCCGGAGTATTGCTTGGGATAAGAAAGGGGTCCATCAGGCGACGAGTTTTCGGCTGCAAACGCGTGAGCTCGTTCCAGATATTCAGGTTTCCTACCAGTGCTCATACCTGCAGGACTTTGTGCTGCTCGTTGCTGCCTCTCCGCTTCCCATCGTGCAGGGTCAACCTTCGAAAAGTCAAACATGACCTACAATATCATTAGTATAGGGGGATCCGATCAATCTGTTCACCTGACATACGTTTGTTAAGTTGATGGAGGATGTGATGTGGTAGCCCTGGGTGTCCTGCCCAGTTTGAGGGTTCTTTAAGATTTCCTCATTAGTTCTGCAACGCGAATATGAAGCTTTCGGGGGGGGGGGGGGGGTTTATCGAAGGGGTTTCTTACTTCATAATGTCCAGGGCTCACTGAGGCGTCGTCTCCGAGATGGTGGCGGACATCAGTAGTGATGACCTCCCGATCTATGCCGTCTTGTGGCACGAAGTATTCGTTCATTCTGACAGGCGATGAAGCTCGACTACTCGAGGTTGATGGGGTTGGCTGGTGCCCACGTTGTTCTTCTGGCGGCGTTTCGACCTGTTGCTCCCAATTTTCCGCGGCCGAGAGTTCAGGCTCTAGCTCGTCCTCAGTCTCTGAGCAATCAGTGTTTGAGTCCAAACCTGAGTTTTCCTCCGTAGCCTTGCCAATCTTTGAGGTATCTTCATCCGCATAATTGTTGATGGGAAGGGCAAACAAGGCTAGCTGCCGTTGATGCTTACCAACATGACGTTGGTAGTTCTGCAGCGATGGCATGGTCTCGAAACAAAGTGGGCAAGGAACTTTCGCGCCCTCATCCAAGGGTTGAGAACTCAGCATAACTAGGTTGTCGATCTGGTCGCCGCGTACCATCTTCCGATGTTGCGTCTCCAAGTGTTCTGCAGACTGAGACGCAGAATTGAAGGTACGGTCACAATCGAAAGGGCATCGCCATACCCTTAAGTGACGCTGCAGCATGTGTTCCATCCACTGATGTCTCTTGCCGAACTCTCTACCTGGCGTAATGCAGTCTTCGGCCAGGCAGTTGTACGGACGTAGGTCGTCGTATACATGTTGCCTAGGGATAGAGGTTAGCTAAGGTAAAGTTAACGTATGTGATGGGATGGTGAACTACCTCCAAGCATGAGTGTCTCTTATCTCCACGAGCATGAAGCAAAATTGGCATTCAAATGGTCCGTCATATGCTTCCTTTGGAAGATCTGGGATTGACCTTGCTTGTGGGTCACCTATGGATGAAGCTTCGTACGAGGTCACGGAAGCCATCTCTTCTCTTGAAAAAGATTCATCATACTTATTAATCTGCGAAAGTTGCTTCAAGTAATCGGGGATAGAAGATGCCACTGTACTCTGTAGGATCTCCGTCCTGTTAGTATCTGCCTGGTCATCCATGAGATGCGAAAGCTTCTTGTGGTGAGCCTCCCTATACTTGAAGTACTGACGCCGACTCGAGATTGCCTTTCCTAGGAGCTGCGCAAGCTGATCATCAATTCCCTCGAATTTTGCGCTCACGTGTTGGATATCGTGATACTCATACGCCGTGGTGTCTGTAAGCTTCGCTCCACTGAAGCGATCCGATCGCACTGGATTCTGAATCATGATAACGAGTCGCATGAGACAATTGATGATATCCGGAAAGTCTTCCATGATTGCGTCAACCTCTGTGACTATGTCCTCATGGCTCTGGCTGCTACCATCGAGCGTGCTTGGTGGCGATTCCAGGTCCTTGAAAGCCTTGATAGCATCATCAATGTTTTCGATAAGTTCCGTCAGGAGCTTCCGAACATGAAGTCTTAAATTCGACGCATCGCGGAGTCGATACTCAAGGGAGGAGCGGTCGGTTTTGTGCGCGCCAACGTTTCCAGCCCAAATTTTGAATCTAACCTGCTCATCCTCAAGCTTTCGGAGAGTTTGCAGAGGTGATGGATGAGATGATGAGCCCTGGGCGACTTGCAGCAGATGGGAGAATTGAGCTTTCGCCTTCAACACCAAGTTCGCGATACTGTCCACCATATTGTGCTTGATGACGGGCGCCATTTCTCGTAGATGAAGGATGTGATTTTGGAAGATGAAGGTTGAATCAGTTTAGAGACGCTACATCTGACTGATATTTATGGGAATTCAATTTATAACATACTACTGTAGCAGGCGTTGGGTGACTGTTCATTCTTCTTTGTTCGGGAGGACAACGAGCGGATGTGCGCCGTGACTCTGAGCGCATGTTCCACGGCAGCGCTTAGGGTCACGTTTCCAATCGAATGAGGTATTTGGCAACAGAGATAGGAAGCCCCTAACATTTGAGAAAATTACGACCCCGCCTTATGGCATGAATAAATAAAACCATGCTGTGTTGATCAGGCTGGCCAATCCCATGGAGGTGCACTTCCGGGCCAACTGCGGCACTGTGACCCGTCACTTCTCTTCCACTTCCTGCTCAGCAAACTCCAAAACTTCCACACAAATCCTCACCATTAGTGCCGAATCGAACATGTCTGGCTTCGAGATAGCCGGTCTCGTCCTAGGCAGCATTCCCCTCATTACCAAGGCTTTCGACGACTACAAGAGAGTCATTGCGACAACGAGGACCTGGCGCAATTATGACCGTGAGGTGAGGGGCCTAATTAGGAACTTGATGACAGAGCATATCAGACTTCAGAACATCTGCGAGAAGCTCCTCTCCTGTCTGGTAGCACCAAACGATTTCGAGCTTATGATCGAAGACCCATTCGGTCCGCTATGGAAACAAGAAGGAGTGCAGAGAAAGATCAAGACGCGACTTTACAGATCGTTTGACACGTTTCAACATGTCATGGAAGATATGGAAGCAGCCATTAATGATATCAAGCAATGTCTCGGGCTTGACGCTCAGGGAAAAGTTGGGAAATGCTCTCGCTCACAGCCAAATACCACATTCGCTAACTTCAAGAAAGGCGAAGTGGACTGAGGAGTCTACAATAATAAAGGAGTTCAAGCGCGCAAGCTTTGCTCTAAACAAGTCGACATACAAGTATGCGATTGATACTATCCGGAAAGACATCACGGCCCTGGAGTCCATAATCGATACGAACATACACATGGAACCAGCCCGAAAACAACGATACAAAGGAAGGCTGGCTGGCCTGGTACGTCAAGTATCTGCAAACATGTACTTTGCACTGAGGAATAGCATATCCTGCGACTGCGATTGCAGGCATCAAGTCCACCTGGACCTCACGCCCGATTCCGAGGATGCCACCCACGATCTGGACGATGCTGCGATAATCGAGAAGATTGGGCTCCAACTCGCCATGACATATCAAACCGACACCGGCCGAGCGATTTCCGAGAAACCTGGTCAACAAAACCTCTGGGAAGAAGTCACCGTCAGAGCCTCCGCACCACAAGCCACCTACACATTGGAGACAACACCAACGCCCCAATCGCCTGCTCGACCGAAGCGAAAAGTCGTAAGCTTTGCTTCATCGCGACAATCAACGATTACTACGACTCGCATCGAACAGCCGACCATCGCAAGAGCGATGATGAGCACAATGCCTGCTCTTAATCTCAGTTCTAGGTCGATCAATCTCACCAGACAAGTCAACTTGTGTGCAGAGCTACGCAGAGGTCATGAAAAAGCCGCTACGGATATTTATGGCACGATATCTCATCAGAGCGCCGGGAAGTCTTGGAAGTTCGCCGTATACCCTAAGGCACAACCAAATAATCAACATGTGAGGTCCGCGATGTCGCTGAAACAGATTCTGGAAGACCCCCTCAGCATAGGAATACCCTACGTGGCTAAACTTCATCTGGCTAAGATGATCTCTTCAAGTTTCCTCCAACTTCACCAAACTCCTTGGCTACCAAATGTTCTGACAAACCAAGACGTCTTCTTCATCAAAAACGACTCGCAGTCTTTGCTTGATTATAGGCAGGCCTTCATCATGAAAGAATTTCCCGAAAAGGCTAGGGAGGATGTTTCCTTGAATTCTGATGCCCGCAATCCCGCACTGCTTTCGCTTGGAATCCTTCTCTTAGAGCTCAAGCTAGGCACTACTATCGAAAGACTGCGACACCGGTACGAGATGTCGGGAGACGGGACCCGCAACTTTGACTATGATGCGCTCGTCGCGCAGAGATTATTGCAAGAGATGCCTGCAGATAGCGAATACTTTGTGTCCGCGGTCCAGCGATGTATAGGCGCGGGTTTCGGACGGTCCAAGCTGGATTTGAACGATGAGGCTTTCCGACAAGACGTATATGAGAAGATAGTCGCGCCGTTGGAAGCTGACCTGGCGGCTTCCACCCTATGATTTACGGGCTTTACCCCGGTTGGATGTGACACAATGTTGAGATGGATTTTGCACCTTGCCCGTAAGGAGTCTCTTTAACGCATACATGACTAGTGAGATGATGACGATGGAAGCATCACAGGCTAGTTATTCAATTCGGGTCTTGAGGTCCTCGTCCAGTCGCTGTTTACGGAAGGAGCGCGACATCTCGTAAACTTTGCACTGAAGTCAGTCACTCTGAGGGTAGACTTTGAATCTAGCCTGCTCATCCCTAAGTTTGAATCCAGTGTAAGAAAGACCATACAAGAAGACGTTAAGGGGTCCAACTTTGTAAGTCTGCGACAGGTCAGAGAAAAGAGCTTCTGCTTTCGATACGAGACCCGCTAAACTGCCTGCTTTCGGTTCTGAGGAACGACGCGGGAATTCATGGTAAGGCTGTTTCTGGCTTGTTCTTTTTCCTTTTCAATTCATCAGCGAGCTGTTGGATAGGCGGATTTATATGCTGTTGTCCCGGATGACGAACAAAGGAGCACAGCGAGACTGTTCAGTTTCAGCTGCAACGAAATTCTTCCCGAATGACATCTAACATTGAACATGTTTTCATTGTCTTCATCCAGGTGATTTCATCGCGTTCTTCTTGGACTGGGCTGGATCATACTGATTCGACGAGAAGGCACCTCATCGTTGTTCGCGTGCCTCTCCTCCACACCGCCCTCTTGGCCCTCGCTTTCGATCAGTATGGAACGTTTGCCAGAAGATCCATCTCTTTGCAAAGTCCCTACCACACCAATTTCGATCTTGTCGTCTCCTGAAAATGAAAATAGGAAGCAACCGCCGTGATGGCATAGAGACGACTCCATTGCACCTCAGTACCAAGACACCTCGTCAAGATCTTCCATCCTCACTCATCCGTGAAGCAGCGCTATTCCAACGTTCTTCAAAGCTGCTGTCTCTCTTCAGCCACCAGCCTTGCTGGTTATCACCTTTCTCCTCCGGCATTTCGAATTCGACGTCCCAGGGCAATAAGCGACGAGAAGACACTTGACCACCTTTCTCTCCCTTTTCCCTGCTGACCTCCTGGCCCTCGCTCGCGTTAAGGATTGAAACTGGGCCTGAAGAGCTGGATTCTAAGCCACGGCCTTGCCATAACATTTTCCATCGCCTCCCCATGCGCTCCTCATAATCTTTCTGGGGTTCATCACTCCGCCGCTCCCCACACCTTTCTCTCTCCGCTTCACGCTCTTCGCGTTCTCTCAAATCTCGAGCGGTAATTTCGCGCATCCATTTTCTCATCATTTTCTTGTACTTTGCCTTTTTTCTTCGTTTCATGTCAACTTGTGTTCTCAATAGAGGCTCACTTAGCAAAGCAAACACAGCCGCTTCCCTTTGGTGTTCGCCCACGTGAGATTGATACTGAGCAATAGAACCCATGGTTTGAGAGCAGAAGGGACAAGACGTATTTGTTTCCTCCTTCATCGGACTAGAACTGAGGCTGATCAAGGTATCTAGTTGACTCGGGGGTATCATGCCAGGATGCCGTTGACTTATGTGGGCAGCTGACGCGATCGCATTTGGGTAGGTCTCATTGCAGCCTAGTGGGCATTGATATGTTCTCAAGTGGTTGGCGAGCATGTGCTGCATCCAACGAGTCTCTTCCGAGTACTGCTGGATAGGAATTATGCAATCCCTGGAAACGCAAACATATGGTTGTAGATCACTCAGTACGTGATCCCTTTAATTTTTTGAGTTAGTCTAAATACGAAGTGCATGAATGAAAGCATTGAATTGCTATGCTATCTTACTTACATCCACTTATCTTGGTCACTGTGGCTGAGTATCAGCGTCATATTGCAATATGGGCACTGGAATTCATCTGATGTCGACTTGAGAAGCACACTCTCCACCTGGGCCACGATGCCCAGTAAGATATCGCGAGCCCCTTCGTACAAAGTGGATTCCTCGTCTGGACTTGTTATCCGCTTGAAATCGTTGATCAATGACTTTGAGATTGTCAGAGGGGTTGATTCGGCGGCTTTCTGATGTTTGCTACTTACGCCGGAGAGTTGCTCGTTGAGAGGTAGACTCGAATTTGTTGATGTTCGATCATAGGCTCTTTGTCTCAGTGTTTCTCGTCTTTGGAACACTGACTTGCCCAGGCGGTCGGCTAAAAACTCTTCGATTTTATCCCATGTCTCTTGAAAGAAATTGACATAAAGGCTATAGTCTTCTGGTTCTCGTCTCAGTTTTGCAGACATGATACGGTTGTGAGGAGCGGGGTCTCCGGTCGCGACACGGAGTCTTAACAAGCAATCGATCAGTCCACGGATTCCCGTCGCTATCTGTTGGAGTTCCGTTTGTGGTTCCGTCATAGAATCGCCCGAGGTGTTTTCTTGGTAGCTCAGCTTATCCCATGGGACTATCTGTCCAGTAAGGATCTTTTCTGCATCGCCTATTGACTCTTTCAGGCCGTTCAGTAATTTGAGGAGTTGGCGTTGAATATGCGGTGCGGTGCGCAGATGGTGGTCTAGATATCCTCCGTCCAACTCAGTGACATCGCGAGTGGTGAAGTCGGCTTGCCACGTCTTCAACCGGAATAGATCGCTTTTGAGACTCGGAAGTTGGGATGCGACAGAAGGTCCTCCGTTGTACGGTCGCCACATTCTGATTAGCTCTTCGAAAGAGATAATAACTTCGAAGGCGACATCTCCAAGGAATAGCGCCATGTTGAGACGTCAGCCTGGTGTGAGAAGAAGCGATGTTGCCATGTCTTTGGAGTCCTATGATGCTGGTTCAGTTTTGCCAGTATGGAATACGTCCCGGCCGAGGACGGCGATAAAGAGGCTGGCTAAGCTTCGTCGAATTAGTTTCTGAATGGGAACCGAACGGCATTGATATGTATCTGTTTCAAAAGCCAATGAACAACCTTGTACCTCAAAGATGTATTTACCGACGTGTAGAATGACGCTAGATGAGACGACGAAAGTAAGGCACGTATGAAGGACATGGGCGCTGTTGTTGTGGTCCACGTAGATGGTGGGAAACGCGGCGAGACGACTCGAGTCTATCTTGAAGGTCTCCTGCGATTGATTATCGGGAGTTTCCCCGCACCGACGAGAAAGCGCCGCGTCGGGCTGGCCTATGATAGTCGGGCGCTTATCTCCCCTCAATGTGCAAATAATGGAGAGGAGTCGCCTGATGTGCTGACATCTTCCGGATATGAATTTTAACGACTGAACATGAGCAGTTAGGCTATGGTGATATTTGAAGGTTTCTGGCCAGCATTGAACGATGTCCGGTATCGAGGTGGTGGGCGTGGTCCTTGGTACCATACCGCTGCTCATATCCGCCCTGGAACATTACCGACACGGCGCCTCAGCGATACGGATTTGGCGGAGGTATGACAGAGAACTCAAAAGCCTAATAACCGACCTAGAGAACGAAAGGATCAGGCTTCAAGATGTGAGTGAGAAGCTTCTCACTGGCATCGTTCCGGACTCTAAGGTCGATGACATGGTCAACGACCCATTTGGCCCCGCGTGGCATGAGGATGCCGTTCGTAAGATGATCGAAGCGAGGCTTTGGAACTTGAGGCCCTATCAGATCTTGCTAGAGAAGGTTGGAGAAATCAAGTTGGCTATCGAAGATATAGCAAAGTTAATCGATCTGCCGCTAAATGAAGAGGTAAGGACAAGTCTTGCACCCCAAGAGTATTTACGTGCTCATCCTGATTCAGCATCCATCATCGAACGGCGCACCTCTGGCTACAGCACTAAAACGCATCATGTTCGCTGTCGGAAAGTCCACGTACACGGGATCAATGACGATCATAAAGAACAATATCACCGACATTGAGTCGCTGATCGATCGAAGTATCGAAATGGCCCCTAAGAGAGAATCACGAGCGCGAGGCAGGACAATGCAGTTAGTTCACGAACTAGCAGGAAGCCTTCACCAAGCGCTATTATCCAGTTTTCCAGGCAATTGCTCCCATGAGGTATACATGCAAGTTATGCCGCAAACGCCAGGGAGAGTAGCTCGCCGGAGTGACGAGGAGATTCTGCAGAATATTGATGTTTATATGTCCATGAACTTCGGCATCGCTGACCAGGCTGGCGGCTTTCATCAAGGACCTATGTGGGAAGAGATCGTGATTCGCTACCATCAACTCAAAAAGCCCAGACGCTCAGCCGACACCAACAAACCAGTGGGTAATGACGTCCTTCAGGGCGCCCCGGACTCTGATTCGAAGATCACTATCGCTGCTCCAAACCCGATAGTCAACCTTTGCGAAGAAATACGCAAGCGACATATCCAAGGCGGAACCGGCTCTTATGGAGAAATCACAGACAAGACTTCGGAAAAACCCAGAGAATATCGTGTCTACCCTGGCAAATGCCTGCCCGGTCGTGATGCCTGGAGTGCTGTAGCTCTGCGGGAGGTTCTCGAGGACCCGAGCAAGTATTCCGGTTTACACGGGCAATACGTGGCAAAGAGGAAATTGGCTGCCTCTGTTTCTGTCGGCTTCCTACAACTACATCAGACGCACTGGCTACCGGATATGATTACAAGTCAAGATGTCTTATTCTTGAAGAAGGACTCTCTACTTCGCTATAGCGACACCTTTGTCATGGCCACCCTACCAAGTCTAGACGGAAGATTAGGGAAACAAGCGGCCCCCTTATTAGGTTGTCGGAACCCAGCTTTAGTTTCGCTCGGTATCCTCCTCGCAGAACTTGGGTGCGGGAAGACCATGGAGTCGATGCGAAATACCGACGAAAAGGCAATGCTCGGCGTGTCACGGCTGCTGTGCGATAGACTGACAGCGTATCGAGTTTTGCGGCACGAGCTTGGAGGTACAACTTACGCCAACGCGGTCAGATGTTGTATCGAGGAAGAATTCAACCGAGAACATCTGGACTTGACTGATCAGGATTTCCGGCAAGTGGTGTATGAACGAGTCGTGAGGCCGATGGAAGATGAGCAGTATGGATATGTATAATGAATTATCGTGTATCGAGCTCGTTAATGGGACCAACTGCCCTGAGGAATGTTATATACCTACATTGATATTTGCCTGGAGTAATATTCGTTCACGAGGTTCAGAAAACAAACCTGACAAGAGGGCATTCCCCAGTGATGATGCCTGCAATTACATGGCTAGCGAACAAGAAGAAACGAAAAGAACCCAGGAAACAGACTCAACCCTGAGCCATGATTTTCTAAGGCACTCATGTTGTAATGCTTCCTAGTCCCTTAGTGATGAGGTAGCTTAAGTAGGTTGGAGCTTCGTGGCTATGGACAAGAGGGGGTAGGTATCCCAGACATTGAGGTTTTTTGGTCCGTGCCAAACAAAGTAAAAGCTAAAATCGCGCGCACCTGTCAATGTTCAGCTTCACAGTCTCTCACTTCTCACACACTCAGAATAGCCACAATGACCTATCTTCAACTCCAATAACCCAGAACACCAAAACAGACATCATAAATACTCAAAAGGCAAAAGAATTGACCCCCACCTGATTTGAACAGATAACCTTTCGATGGCATCTCGACGAATGTCGAGCTGGAGTCGAACGCGCTACCGTTGCGCCAGAGGGCCAGATGCTGATTGATGAAGGATTTGCCGAAAATGCCGCAGATGAAGGGCCACAGCAAAATCGCCTGCGGCTTCGGAATCAGGGGACTGCCCGTCTGCGGGGTTCTGCTCCACCTGAGCCACTGAACGCCCCAGTTCGGCCACAACCTTAACCACCACGTGGGCGCAACAACTCGACGTCGACGACGACGAACGGGAATTCTTCAACGAACGGAGACTCTTGGAGTGGGCTGACTACTTGGAGATTGAATCGATAAGCATGCTGCCGACATATCCGTCTACTCCACAAGTTCGTCGGTAATACGGCGAGTTGTCAAAGCTCTTGCGAACCAGCCACCATCTGTTTGTGTATGGCATTTCCATTCAAGCGGCATTCTCAAGCCAGATTTCAGCCCGAACAACTTGTGACAGCGGGTGATCGGCATTCCATCTCGATTTCGATTTAGTATTACAAGCGCTTATCCCGCTGCCCGTTGATTATGATGTGCGGTTTGGCCTTCAGCGATTTGAGTTGCTTGCATCGGAGCTCGATTACCCTCTTCGGCAGGCGGCAAGAAAACTGCCCTGGCACGACCTCCAAGCGACTCCAAAAATTCCAAGCCTCGGTCGCATGCACGGTCAGCAGCGTCCATCCTGGGCCTTGGGGTCGATGGCTTGTCAATTATGCTTTTGCTGGTTGGCGGGATTGCCCGTTCAATGTCCGAACCGACAACCTTCAACTTGGCAATGGCAGAATCATGAAACGAGCTGGATTTAGATTTCTTTAGCTGCCTCTTTCAGCGAGCAGCTTGAGCGACGACGATCTCCAGTATCTGTTGTGGACGTCGCCGCCAGCCGAGACTTGCGTATCTTTGAGGAACTGCTATGTTATCGCAGACGTTCCCCATCAGTGTTACGCATGATTTCGAGGGCAGAACAGTGGGTAAAAGGTTCATGTATTACGGAGCCATCGTCAGAGAGCTTCAAGGGCCCTCGCTCCTCAGTAAGACTAAAGTATATGCATGAAGTCATCCACGAGGCCGGCCAAATAGCCTGCCTCACAATTAAGTAGTAATCATCCCAGCCACCATCTCCCAGAGCTTTTCACCAATACGCAACATCCTCGCACTGAGAAACCCTCTTACAAGACAGCCTTGCCGAGGTTGGTGTTGAAGTTGGCATCCTTCATGGGCACGTTGGCGCTGCCAAAGTCGGTGTTGGTGAGCGCGGTGCGCGCGGCATCAGTGAGAGACTCCCACGCGATGAGGGGCTGCTGGCCGCCGACGTCGCTAGTGAAGATCATCTGGTGGTTGACGGGCCAGACGCTCTGGTAGCCGATGCGGGGGCTGGTGCCGGTGTAGTCGATGCCCGAGGTCTTGGTGTCGTACTCGCCGTGCGCGGAGACGGCGACGCCGAGGACGGTGGCTGAGGTGGAGGCGGCGGACAGCCAGACGACGGCGTTCTCCCAGTCGTGGCGGTGGCCCAGGCCGGAGGAGGGTGAGTCCTTGGGCATGTAGTAGGAGTACATGATGGCGTAGGCGCCGTTGTAGGAGGCGCCGCGGGCGTAGACCTGGCCGGTGCTGGAGGAGCATCCCCCGTTTGAGGAGCCGGAGGTGGCGAGGCCGCCGCTGTGGATAACGGGTTAGAGATGGACTGAGTGAGGTGCTTGTTTAAGTGAGGTGAACATACCCAGTGTCACCAGCAGCGTTCACGGCAGGGAAGGGCACGCAGCCGTTGACGACCTTCAAGTAAGGCTTGTACTTGAGATACAAGCTACCGACGGTGCCTGAGGGAACGGTCTCGGGGAAGCCAACGACGGCATCGTGAGCAATGACGGCACGGCGTTCGAGAGGAGCGGCGGTGACAGTGCCGGCAGCGGCAGCGAGCCATGCACCGAGACGGAGGAGAGAAGGCGCCATCGTGAACCGAAGGTATGCTTGGATATGAAGAGGTAGATAAGTAGTCTCTCAGATGAACCGGGAGATCGTCTCTAAATATGTGTATCCGATGTCTGAAACTGTCACGACTGCAGATGACGGCTGTGACGTGGGGAATCTGACTCGGCGGAGGGAAAGAAGACTAGCAAACTTGGATGTTGTGATAGACCAGGCCTTGTTCCTGCGTCCGATCAGCGTCGTCTTGCATCTTATAGCTCCGCCCCCGACTCTCGTCGTCTTCTCGGCCCTCTCACGACAAGCCATTCATCCACGCGGGCCAGAGAGAGGGTGTCAGCAAGGGGCCACAGCAACCAGGGCGACACGAACCAATATCCCACAAAGCTCATCATCTCCGAGGCTACGGCGCCCCCCTCTGAATGTTAGATGGTTAATCATTCGAGCATCTGAGCTTGTCTACGACCTCTTGACCCCGCCCGTGGCATGGCATTACGACGCAATTGGGCCATGTGAGGTCTGTAAGGACAAGGGACAAATGCCGCGTGCCGGTGCTAGCAGCCCGAAGCCCCCCTCACCAGCTTCATGTTCTACCGTTCTCTATAGCAGGACCCTTGAAAGGGAAAAACGGTCGATATCGTGGAGTTAAGGGAACCACTGCGGCCAGCTGCCCGTTGGGGGTCACAAAGGAGAAGGTGGTTGGAGAGAAACTGAAGGAATAGGTAGGGGTGGTCATGTAGCGTTGCAGGCCACACTTGAAGGTGCCGAGCTGATCCCTGTCACGGTTCCTGGATCTGGCATCTTGTCCGCCGCCAGTGGGAGACCATGTAACCTCGATAATCCCCTCCCGGTCACTTTCCACCCCCGCTCGAGACGTCAAGTGCCATCAATGCTTCTTGGGTTTTCTTGGGGACAAACGCTTTGGCGGTGACGGAAAATCCACGCCGATAATGATACTGAGTTGAATAGCTGTGGAGTAGAATGAGTCCACGTTTCTACCGCTGGAGAGAAACTCATTTCTTGGCTCGGCCGAGTGGGATGGATCGAGAAGAGTGGAAGATTTATTGATGACAATATCGATGACTTCGCATATCGTTCAATGACGACAATTGACGAATGGCATGAAAGTCGCTTAAACCCAGCCTGCTTGCCTCAGCCGCAACACGCGGGTGACGTTATGCGTCTTGCGGGGAAAGATGTCGCCACACTCTGCGAATGATCTCAACTGGTAACAACAAAGGGAAACCGGGTTGCATCTGGTCGAATGGTAGGGCCACGCTGAATGATTGACCGTTTTACAACGGTTTCGATAGACGCTGGGGAAACCCACCGTGCCCGATTAAGGTCGTCGAACGAGTCACGAACGACTCGTGGCAGCGAGGGATATATGTCTACAGATCGTATAGGTGGAGCCGCATTGGTCGATGGCGGGTCGATTGGGATATTTCTTCTCTTTTAAGCCTCAGACAAGCTTCAAGTTCCACATGGCAATTGAAGGCGACTGGAAGCTATCGGGGATATGAGGGGGACTGTAGGTTCTTTTGCTGAGGAGATGAGTTGGTCCGGTCCGGTGACTTATTAGATGTGGTCCAGGCGTCGTGTTGCCCAATATTCTAATCTACTCGAGTCATGGTCTTCGGGTCCTACCGAAACGGCGGGTTCTCGGGGGCCTTCCGATGGGTTTTGATGAGGGCGACGAAGCGTGGTGAGGCGAGAATGCCGTAACAAAAAGCGTCTGCTAACCCGGATGGACCATCTTGAGGCTGAAGATATCTCGAGCCAAGACGAAAGGAGAAGGACAACAGCTGACCAGGAAAACTTTCAAAGACCTCGTGTTCAGATCGTGAGTCAAGACCGACATGACTGTATGTATAGTATATTACACATCTAGATCTAACGAGAAACAGAGATAGAGAGAGGAATTGAGATGGGTATCACAAAGCTTTCCGAACATCGTAACAACTGTACGTGATGAATAATCGCCCTCCATAATACAAGTCAAGAGCAATTCGCCCTTTGGGGCTTTGTAACCCGGATCAAACAACCAGCCCAAGTTCGCTTTTCTTTTGAGTAACCATGAAACACATCAAGAAAGACATCACAAACATCGCATGCATCAACTAAAGTCCCACGATTCTCCCCACAACTCGTTCAAGTTCAATCCCAGTGCTTCAAGATTAAAGTCGGGATTGTATGACTGCGCCTTTGCCAACACACTGTCAGCGACGAGTGCTGGGAGTGCTGGGGAGAAGTCGTGGAGACTCACCTGCGGATCAATGGATGGTGGCATCCACGGCAGGGGTTGAGGCAGGAGCCCGTCCATCGCGTTCTGCGACGACGGGTAGCCCTGGAAGGAGAAGGGCGTCACCGACTGAGGAGGACGAGTTAGTCACTGTTCGGTTCTGAACGACGAAAACGACAACGGATGGGCGCGGTTGCTTACTTTTGGTCTCTCGGGAACTTCCAACCCGGGAATCTTGGACAGCTCTGATGGCTGGCTCGATACCGGAGGTTCCTGATTCGCCAGCAGTTTGTAGTGCAGGTTGACGAAACGTTCCGCAGACGATGCTTTGGCTTGTTCGGTGGTCTTTGTACCCAGGTGGGCTTCGAGAAGGCCGAGTGCCGAGCACATGATGGAGTAACCCCAGGGCTCGTTGTTGCCGCAGCGGAGGATCCTGTCTTCCTTCATGTGGAGGCACTTCTCGAGGAGTTTGACGGTGTGTTGCGAGTTGATCATGATCATGTTTGTCGAGCCGCGCGGCTGCAGCATGGTAACGCTGCAGAGGTTGACGGCCGTGGTCAGCGCGTCCTCGCGGAGGAAGTTGAGGCTGCGAATACCCTGCTCGTAGAGCTTGTCGTGGAGCAGGACAATGTCTCGGGCGGCGTTGTAGTAGATGATCTCGGAGTACTGGTACTTGGCGTTGGATTTGCGAAGCTTGAGGAAAGGTTGGTGTAGGGGAACGATGTACTGGCGGAGCTGGATGTGGAGCAGAGTGTAGGCGAGAAGAGGTCTCTTGCCGCCGTGTGTGTTGTTGCTGTTGTGCTCCCAGGAGGGAAGGGAGTCGATTTCGTGCGTGATGTCGTTGGTGTAACGGATGACTTGGTCATAGTCCAGGTCTCCTGGCGGGCCGCAAAGGAGGCGGCTCAACTCCATGCGCAGCGGCAGACTCTGGCGAGCCAGATTCTGATAGGAGGAGAAAGTGTACTCCTTGCCGTGCTTGGAAGGCGGGAGCTGCGTCGTGTCTTCGTCAAAGTCCTCATCGTCCAAATTTCTTGGTGGCTGCACATCGTAGTGTAACTGGCTCACAAGCGTGGGCAATCCGTGATCGAAAGAGGCTTGCATGTCAAACTCTTGCACCGTTGCCCAGATCCTCCGTCTCATCTCCTGGTTGTAGACTGAAATCTTGCTGGCCCCCATGATGCCGGGTTCCCGGTGCAGTCCGACGGAGATGCCGTCCTGGATAAGAGCGCCGGAGTTCGTCCAGAAGCGCTTCTTCTTCACAGTGTTGACCCGCTTGGCGAGATACAGGAGGCAAGCAATCTGGTAGTGGATGAGCTTTCGGTGCTTCACACTCTGGTGATCTTGCCAATTTTCAACGGCCTTGATCCACTTTTCAGCGGCATTCTGGGCATTGGAAATCATTCCAGTGAACCTCAAAGATTCGTGGGTGTGAATGCAGTTTGCTACTGCGCAGATGGAAAGGACGAGAGCGGTAAGTGCTGCGTAGCGGGATTCGGTTGGGTTCTCCCAGAACTCTGAGTACTCTCTGCGGAAGGTGGGAATGTGAATGATGCGGTGCATTTGCTCGAATTGGTCAATGTAGACCTCGAGCAAAGCATCGCAGTGCTCCTTTGGTGGCAGAAGAGCCTCAAGCTGGGCGTCAGGCTGAAGGTAGAACTTGTCTCTGTCATCCTTGCGCTTCTTGCGGTCTTTCCGGTCATGAGCCTTCACGGGCTTGAGCCACTCATCTGCTGTCTCCTTCATGAAGGGGCATAGACCAGTCAACTGTAATGCAGTCAGATGAGAATTCTTCATTAGGATGAAAAAGGGCTCATATGAGCGAGAGAGACCTACCTCGATGAAAGCCATTGTGGCGTTGTGAGGACCAAAATACCGTGTTCGGAATTCCTTGCCCCTGAAAAAGCGGAGTTCTGACTTGTCCCCATCACCATACTGATGCCAGCATGACTGAAGCTCTGAGTTGTTTGCGCAAGGGTCGGCTGGTGCTTCATTGGTCTCATCCTTTTGAGTGAGTGGCGAGTTGGTGCCGGCAATTGTGCTTCCATCGAATGAGGACATGGCCTGTCGTGTGAGCTGAGTCTTGAGCTGAGCGACCTCGAGCTCGAGACGGCGAATGCGGTCGTGATCCTTGGCCGCCTCGCGGATAAGAGAAACATCGGCTTCCTTGCCGGGAACAGCCAGCTCGCCATTCCTCCGTGAGTCGAGCTGGGCAAAGGCAGGCGGAACGCCAGAGCTGGCGTTCAGCACAGCACCCGACTTGGTCTCATACGTGCAGCGATCCGGCGTGCCGCTCTTCAGGCACCGCTGGCACGGGTAGCCTCTGTCACAAGACAGCTTCCTCCGGCGACACTCCAGACAGCTTAGACGCACTCGTTGGCGCTTGCGGGGGTGCTGTGAGTTCTCATCGTCTTCGCGTGAGTTAGCGGGAGACAGACTCCCACCGTCATCCACTGAGGGAGACATTGTATCGTTGGCTGAATTCATGGTGTTGATGCGGCTCAATCTTGTAGCGCGGGAGGCGAAAATGATCAAAAACGAAGGGAAAATGTACCGCGCGTGAGACACAGGCCACGGCCACGGTTATATCAATCAGTACCGAGTTACAAATGGATTAGCCTCCGGTCCGGAGTGGGCACATTCTACCCGCCGCTCGCTGTCAAGATGTGCTCGAAATCCAAGGGAAGAAACTTCCCCCTGTCAGTCAGCGAACGCTACCGCCGAGCGAGCGTCGTCAGTGTCTTAACAGTTTTTGCACGAGAATTGTATGGTATGATGTTAAGCCTTG